ATTGAGAACATGGATGGCCATTTATTTGTAATATCTGTATCTTTGACTTAACATTCATCGTCGATCGTGTAGATTCCATGAGATTTTGAAAACCACAGTACACATGGTATACAGTATACACCCTGTATAGATGTTTTATATTTTCTTTCTCAATAATTCTATTTAAAGGTCTTTTTTTTATTAATTATTAATTTTATTTTAAAGTAAGATATTTAAAATTGCGACAGTGACTGAATGAAAAGATTCCTCTCTCTCTCTCTCTTTTCTCTCTATCTGCCTCTGAAAGCTGATTTTTTTTAATCACATTAAAAAGGCCTGTTGAAGTTGCAAGTATAATTTCAGCAGTTTCTACAATAAAGGAGGTTTTTATATATTTTCATAAATATCGTGAAATACCGGTATCTGATTTTCATATCGTGATATATTATCGTGGTGGATAATACCGCAATATACCGATATACCGGTAATATTGCACAGCCCTAACATTTACCAAGGATTATTACAAGAGCACAGCATGACAAAGAGCGAACAATGAAAGTTCGAATCTAATGATGGACATAGTAGATGTCGAAATAGGACCCACTGCTCAATGGCCATGACTGACTGGGCACCAGCTTAGGGTTAATTTTCAGCACTGCACGAACAATACGATAGAAATATCTACAAGAAAACAAACAAAAGTAAAAAGTATACACCACAGAACTACAATTGTATTTCTTGGAATAATGCTTACAATGAAGTAACTTTGTTGGCTGTGCCAGAAACCAACTACAATTGCTCAAGGTCTTCATTCAGACTTCAGTCATTAGACACCTGAAACAACATTCGATACCCAGAAGTCCTTGGCGTGATGTAGTCAATGACGCACTTTCAATAGTGATAGTGGGTTAAAAAAATATAGCATCTTAGCCAGTGCCTTACTTCAAGCGAAGTCTGTCACGACAAGTAACGCTGTCTTGGATCGATCGAGGGATTGTGACTGAAATAATACGGCGGTGGATCATATAGAAGATTCCGTCGGCTTTGTCCCACCCCCTCTTCCGTTGTTTGTTACCCGATAATGACTCAGAACACCTTCAAGTCAACACTTAATTAGTGAAAAAATCAAGGATCGAAACAGTAAAAGTGCACTTTCTTAAAATATTTCATCTGTGTATACTCAAAAAAGTCTGGGCTTTGCACCAACTAAATCAGCTTATTTTTATGGAGATGAAAATACACCGTTAATTCAAACATACAAAAGCCCCGTAATTACGCGAGAACATCGCGAAAAATTAATTCCCGCGTATATAAGTATTCCTTACGATTATATAGAGGACTAACAACAATTCGTAAAAATTATGTTTCGCTTTTAAAGATTCAATGACTGTCTAGCGAAAATAAGGTGTCGCGAATATTTAGTGATCTACGGTATTTGGGGCACTCGCACCTTCGCACTCTCACCTTTAGGTCGAGGATGCGAGAGTGCGAAGTTGCGAAAACGACGGAGCAAAAGTGCGAAGATGCGACGGCGAAAGCGCGATGGTGCAAAGGTGGAGTGATACTAATATCGCATTTTTGCCTTTTCTTTAAACTTTGGCTATATATAGCTCACGTTTTAAGTTAATTTTATTGTGCTGTCACATTAACCTAGCGGATGGATGCGTACCAGTAATATCCGAGAGAAAAATAAATACTGTGAACGCGTCGCAAAAAAAAAGGCGAATGTGCGAAGCAGGGGCATAGCAACAGCGATTTTTGCACCTTAGTCAGGAAATGTTAATTGAAAGCCTTGTAGACTTATTTAGTGATGTTTGAAAATAAAATTTAAATAGTTTAAAAAATACTTTCAAGTTAGGATTTTTGTTCTAGGCAACATTTTGCTTGTCAACTTTTTGGTAAGTAAAAAAAAAGCCCCCCCCCCACTTTCAAAAACGATGCTACGCTATGCCGAATGCAGTAAATAAACGAACCTACACAGCAACTCTGAAAATTTACTGAATTTAGCTCACTTAATCTAACTCATGAATACAGATAAAGAGTTCTACAAAAGGAAAATGCGAAGGCTAACGTGCGAAGTTGCGAAGGGGGAAGTTTGATATAAATATCGCTTCTTCGCCTTCGTTAACTCTCATCAGTTTTCATAACCTCACACTCTCGCAACTTCGCCCTAAAGACGAGAATGCAAAGGTTGTGTTGCTAAAATTACCATGATATTTTTTGAAAAAATTTGAAGAACTTCCAAGTGTATTAACGTGATACGATGTGTCAAGTACCATCAAAACGACATTTCACCTTTGACTTTTGATTTAAAAGATTGTTAAAATTTATTTTCATATTTAATTCAAGCTTATATCTTTAGTAATATGTATTTGAGAATATCATTATGATAAGAGCTATTTTTTCACCACGAACCCACATGACCTTGAACATTGACCCAAGAACCGAATTTTCAGTTTTTATTTTAATAAGCATAAGAATCGTTACTCGGTATTTAATACAACCTGATAAAATCTGAGTCTGGTTTTACATCTTTAGAAAAATTAATTTATGTAATAGAACTATACTTTTTAAAATACATTTTAGACAAAAAGAACAAATTTTCAGAAAGTTATTTAGGTATACCATCTTTACATATCAGTTAATCCAAAAGTTCATGTGTTGGAAGTATCTGATGCCATGGGGGTTTTGTTTTAAAAAACATTTTCCAGCTACTTTTTGTAGCTTTTTATTCATCACAATTTTTTAATAAAATGTTTTCAAAAAATCACACAAATTTTGCTTTAAAAAATTGTTAAATCTGACAATTTTAGGAATACAAGAAGTTGACTTCAAGTTTTCTTTACTTTAAATGCACCTACAATTAATTTAGTCCTATATGTCAATAACAAAGACTATAATGTGCAAAATTTTTAAACACTAAAAAAATTAAAAATTTGAATTATTTTAATTCTAGTGCTTTATATCTTTAGTATATAAATATGATTTGGAATATACAAACACGTGTACAATTAATGAAATTTCAAACTGAAAAAAAAATTACATATACTGGAGAATCTGTCAAAACTAGAAGGGTTTGCTAAGCCAACCTGGTTTTGTTAGAAAAATTATTTTATTTAATTTTTATGTTGAATAATAGCATTTTAAAAACATGCAAAAGAAAAGAATTTTCAGAAAGTTAGTTTTCTGTTGTTGGTACCTGATCTTTAAATACTGTGACTTATAAATAATAAATTGATTCTGTGTATTGTGTGTTCAAGCGGAAAGTGATTTCCTGTTACGTAGTTTTATATTTCACATTTGTACAAACAAAGGGTTCATGTTTATTAGAGTCTTATCAATGCAAAAAAATGATAAAGTGACAATTGTAAAAAAAAATAAATTCAATGGGCCATGCCATTGCTGGTATAAAAAATAAATTATAAATTTTGTTCGTTTTTGTTTTGTCAGTGTTGTTGCTGCTTTTTTTTAACTGATAACATGGGCCATAAAACTTAAACGAGCTCACTTCCGATCTCAGTTACTTTTCAAAAGGAATTAATAGTAGAAAAGTGAGTCTGAGATCAAAAGTGAGCTCGTTAAAGTTTTATGCCCTCCCAGGCCTGGGGATCGCAGCATAAAGGTTACTTAAGTCTAAGATCGTGTGCTTAAGTACAGTCTAAAACTTAAGACCGTAACTAGAAACGTGCTAAGATTTGGTAATCTCAGCAAAACTTAGGCGGTCGGTAGAGGTGACTTAAGTATATCTTAACTTTCTTTGACCTCTGACCTCACAGTTACATGTATATTTGTTTGTTGCCTTTTTTCCCCTTTCATATCTTCTTGTTGTGTAGATATTTGCTGTGGAAAGAACTTTATAATGAATAACAAAGGCTTATGATTTTAAACATATTTCAATATTTTATTATTAACATTGGATAAAGTTTTAAGAGGAGACAAATCCTTTTACCGTATTCATAAACTGTGAAAACAATTCACGAGATGAAGTTCTGGCAGCTTATTAGATCTGTTTAGATAAGACAAATGTTTACGGTTGAAGGGAAAAAAATCTTCTTGATAGAAAAGATTTTTTTAATTGCATTTTCAAGATACAACTTTTTAAAAAATTTTCTTACTTATAATTTTGCTTTCACATCTTACGCAATATTAACTGTGTGTGCAACTCTTATATAATATGATTTATTTTTCGCTTTGCATTCTGTAACCTTTAGACTGTGAAAAATTGTTGCATTAAAAGATAGGTCTCAGAAGATCAAAAAGAGCTACAAATTAAAATAAAATGTAAAAACGCGGAATTGGTTATCAGTCTAATTGAAGAAACTGGGTGGTATACCCCATTGTACGTTTACATAAATCTACCTTTCATATAAACCGCATCCCAGACGATGAGTGTCGATTTCGTTGATATGAAAATGATATACATGTATACCTTTTTATAAAACTTCTTACCATAAAATATTAAAATTATACAATGGGCTGTGAACAATCTTAGCGTATCAGCGTATAAAAAAATCTTTTGTATGGAGGGGTATATAGAGGGTTATATTATCTGCTTTTGCATTGTTACGTAATTATTTTGCAGATCTCCTTGGGACGAGTAGTTATGTATTCTTTGCACTCATTTGCCTTTGAAAGAGATCTCATCGAAAACGGGTATCAATTGCCGGGTTTTGTTGTGGTATAATTCACAGTATCTTGTAAACGCCTATATCAAAATACAAACCAGGAAATTCGTGTAATCGTGTTTTCAATTGCATTTGATGACCTACAAAATGTGGCCAATACACTCTACTATATTAACGCACCTGTCTAAAGGTAAATATCGACTGTCTACAACAAGACATTTAGAAGTCGTCCCGTATCTATTTATATAGTTCTGTTTTCTTTTGATAAAGCCCAATCTCAAAAATAACCATTCAAAACATATCAGTCGTAAATAATGCAATTACCTGTTAATGCAAGAGCAGCGACCGTGCACCTGAATGCGGAATTATTACGTGTTATATAATTGATTGTAAAATCCTGAATTTGTCTACGCCACCTTCCTGCCGATCGCGCCAATACGCTCGCCTTCCGCGCGGCTCGCCCCTCCCCCAACTCCCGACTTAGACCGACCACCAGTCATGCTAAATAAAATGCGGTGACATCGTTCACTAACTTACTATCAAAACTACTACTAGCAGACACACACGTGCTCCAGTGAGACTATAAGAATTCGGGGGGCACTGTCGTCTCGTCATAAATCTGAGGATAGATTACCCAGTCTATCATGATCACTCAACTTCGTGTGTGAGCTTTGATTTTTTTTGTCTTTTTTTTATTCCCCCCAAATGATAATGGTTTGATGTGTGATCGTGTTCAGATGGATGCTAACTGTTTAACTGTACTTTTCCTCCTGTCATGGGTCGGTTCTATAAAGGGTGAGTACCACACACAAGACTTTTACAACTTGTCTCTATAGATCTGTTTCTAATTACCTGCCTAATTACTGTATAAAAGTACATGTATTGTATTACTTAAGTATAAAAATATACCCCACTTATTTTACATAAGTTCTGTTATCTTTTTTCTTCTTACAAGTTTTGATTTCCATGAAATTTATGATTAAGTTTTGACAACACTAATATTTGTTTGCAATATCAAGAAATTTCGGTCATTAAAAAAGTGTTTCACTTGTCACCCATATTCTTTTCACGATTTAATTATGATAATTTTTGTATTTACCTTACTTAGGAATTTTTTGACAATATGTAAATATTTTCAATATTAGCAAGCGTGAAAAAAATATTTGGATTTTACAAAGAATGTCATGTGCAAGATGGAGGCATGCAGGGAGTTCTCTATCTCTAAATAAAAAAAAAATATTAATGCAAACTGACTATGAAAAAAATAATAATTTTTTTATTTTAATTTATTCCGTCACCACAACCTGTTGAAATCTTTTCTCGTAAAATTTACCTTTAATTCGGTAAATATTCTTGCGTAGATCTTGTATAAAAAAATATATACCTGCATAGTAAAGTTGGCAAAAGAAGCCTATATGAATGGCGAAAAGCAATTAACTTAACAAAGGATGCGTGGGACTCTATATTTTCACGTAACGGGGAGCTTACGCACTTTTAGCGCAAAAATTTTTCCCTCGCACCTGTAGCAGACGTTAGCAGTCTGCAGCACATTGCATCATTCATAAAAAACCGTGTTTATGTAATAGCTGACGATTATGATAAATTTACTGTGATGATAAATATAGTGTGGAACGATTAAAAAATCAAAATAGCCTCCCCGGCCTCTTGATATGATCAAAGTATTCTAACACAACAAGAATGATTGAAGTAATTAATAATATATGCGTCAAAACTTGCAGAAGATATCAATCTGTTTCCGGTGGGCGATAGATTATAGTATAAGTGATGTTCGTGTTGTTTTATCATGCCTTTGTGTATAAACGAACCCAGTTACCCGGACCGAGGGTCAGGGACGAGGCCTATGTTGAAAACATCGTCAAACTGTGCATCTACCCGATGCACTGCCGTGATGAGTTACATCGAAGTCACACACTGTCCTTGGAATTCGAAACCCCAACAGAATATCGTCTGACTGTCAGCCAAATTATTTTTTTAATGTCTTGCATTCCCACGATTCCGGGTTCGGCTGTATATAGTTCGTCCCTCATCCTTTGACCGTATATGACTGACAATGCAGACATGACAATGAGTCTGTCCAATTGTCTGGTCCGCAGAAGGAAAAAAGCAGGTGCGGGCATAGTTTTGACATTCTGTTTTGTTTCCGACCAATATTTCGTTAAGCAAACATCCTGAAGTTCTCATTCCTGCCGTACCTGTGTGGCGAGGTGAGGTGGTAAATAGCCAGCTTATCTGCTGCGATGACTGACTTGGGATCAATATGAGTTTATTGATTCCTCTACAATGTCTAGACGCAGTAAATAAAGTTACATAATTTATAATACAGCATATACATAGATATGTCGCTAGCTGAAAAGTGACATGCAGTAGCTGCCGCGTGCTGCACTTCGTTTAAGTCAATAATAAACCTCAAAGAAAGGAAAAAATAAGAAAATAACTTGGAGAATCTCTTTGAAGTTCCTACAGCGGATCAAAAGTCTCAATCGAATTTTAAACTTCACATTTTTCATTTTTTTTGTTGAACATTTGGAGTATGTGATATAGAATGTCGCGGGCTATTTGCGTAAACATTATTTACACTTGTTCGCTGTTGACTCAGTTGTAATATAAGTCAACGTGAAATAGTTCTTTCCGATCACCCAGAACATTGTTTTCTGTTACAATACAGCCACTTCAAAGGGAATAGTTTGGCTACCTGGCAAGACGAGTCCTCATACCTATTCAAAACATGCGTCCGGAATCGATCAGAGATTAGGCTGATATCGTATTGCCCCAGACTTAATGCACCGAGTTTTTGTTGTATTTGTTATGTCTTTTCCCCATGTCTTTATTAACTGAAGATACCTCAAATAAAGGGTTTAATAAAGAATGTCAAGGGGAGTCTCCCCGGGGTCGTGTATTCAGTAAGTATATAAGTTAATGACCGCAATCGACATACATTTTATTCCATATAGGAATCGATACAGAAATTCAAATAGTTTAAGCAGCCAGCCAGACGAAAGTTAAAAGTACAAAGTATAAATGTTTCTGAATACCACTAGGACTAAATCTATTTCAAGACATTTTATTATAGAGTAAAATTATCAGAACTCGCACGCCGTCAAGTTCTATACTCTCCTATTTTTCACTCATGACACTTGAGAGGGATGTTAGTTCTCTTTTAATGGCCATATAATTGTTGTACTACGGTCAGGCACTGTTCGAACGGAATTTTTATGAAAAAATAATTGGTTCTAAAATTAAAGGATTTTCGAAACTTTTTAAGAACTTCTACGTTCAGTGCCGAAATGTACAAATTGTCGATTGTGCGATTTTTTTTATTTTTCTTTGCTGCGACTTTTCGAAAGTATCATCTTTTTGGAATAAAATATTGATTAATATATAAATATTAAACTTTCGTTTGAAGCAAAGGGATAATTTTTTTTTCTTCTTACGAGAGAGAGAGAGAGAGAGAGAGAGAGAGAGAGAGAGAGAAACTTGTTCAGTGTGCTCATGCTTGTTAAATGTGCTGGTGTCTGAAATCTGCGACTATCAATAATGAATAATATTATGTACAGACGAACGGAATTTAAGTAGGACAATTATCAAAAACTTAGTTAACAAATAAAATGTATCTATTGGTACCTATTTTACTACAAATGTATTAAAACCCATCAAAAGAAGCAAAGTTACTCCCGTACCGAATATTCCATCAAAAGTTTGCCACCTTCGTGACCCAAAAGATAGAGATAAGTAATTTGTATATATATGTTAATAAGAGACATTGACGCATCCAATTTTAATTGCGTTCATGCAAGTGCTAACATTACAACTACACAAGACCTCCCGCAAAACCCATAAATTATATTTGAAACCCATTTCTTTGGATTATTTGCTTCTGATCTCCCTCTAATGATGAGCTTACAGAGGTTAATAACTCAACGTAATAGCGCGTCTTCACAGAGTTATACTACAGACAGTCGTATGCCAAATACATGTAGTACATCAGGAATTGGGAATTTAGAACGTAACGTTTGGTGCGGAGAATTTAAAATTCAAATAAAACCTTCGAATTTGAATTAAAAAGTATGAATCATAATTCTATGATAAAAGATATTTTCAAGAACTGCATAAAATTTCAGAGAAAAATTTTTTTTCCTTGTATTTTCCGAAAAAAAAAATATCAAAGGTATGAGGCAGATATTTGTCCGCATTCTTAGACATTCCTGTTATTAATATCCACCAGAATGTCAAGAATTTCTGAATATTTGTGCATGATAATTTCATTTGTGTCAAAGTAAATCCATTCAACCCGTTTGATGTGCGTGAAACAAATTTATTTCATATTATTTACTCTATCTCAAATAACATTTACGCAGCAAAAGAACGCCCTATATTTCGATATTTTAAAACTTCACGGAACTAATTACTGAGCGTGCCGGGACCTAAAAGACTTTTATAGTAGCGTAGTAATCGGGCTTAAACCCTTAATTGCAGAAATAACTACCATTTTAGAAACCTCACTCATTGAAATTTCACCCTTGAAATGATGTCTTTTTCAATACACAATGAAGGGATTAAATGAAATTTCTTGATTTATTAGATGATTTAAAAACAACGTCATATAAATCCACGTTTGATGGTTTCCGGGGTTGATTTCAGGTGAAAGAGGACGGTCATTCAACCCGAGGTCAAACGTGGAAATGGCAAACAGACGGACGATTTGTCTACAAACGCATAGGGAAAAGGGACGTAGTAATCGGGCTTAAACCCTTAATTGCAGAAATAACTACCATTTTAGAAACCTCACTCATTGAAAACTTAATTCGAAATGGAGTAAAAAGAAAATTTTCTAATATGCAACCAAGATTATAAAATCATGAACCTTTTCGTATCGTTTTCTGCAGAATTCTTAATATCGTATTCGAGAGCAATGTTTAAGCAACGTCTAGGAGAAATAACGAAGCGTCAGAGTGGACGTATTTGAAAATAAGAAGATGAATATCAAAACGATTCCGATAATTCTTTACTATACAAAAACCTTTCGCATTTCAAAATACTAAGATTGAGATTTTTGTAGGAGTGATGAGGCTATACATATATAAGTAATTTAGGCCTGATTTTCTACCGGACGTGTCTCTTCTGTCTTATTACTCGCCCTGCACCGATTGACCGAAATAAAATCAAGTAGGAACTAAAGCCTTTTAAAATTCTTTTAATAAAACGAGTGCTTAAGTTTAGAAATGCTATATCAAACAGTAATCAGCACGTACTTCTAAAACTAAAGGCCTAATTGAACATTCTCAATATGTGAACTTATCAAACGTTCATGAATGATTTTAGACAGCTCAGCATTTGTAACCTTAAAGTATGGTAGATTGTAGATTCCCTCATGAAGGTTGATATAGATGACAAGGATCATTGCCTTCAAAGGTGGCTGGAATTTCCTTGTTTTATTATTAGATCACCAGAGGTTTGCCCAACCCCCACCTTTATTGTCAACTTAAGGAATGTTTTAAATTTTATATCTGTATCTTGACCTATATACTTTACATGTATACAAGGATAGGGAGTGCACAGACTTTATCTGTTGACTAATCCCTATTGAATTATTCAATAAAATACCATGTATGTTTAAAGTTATTTTTTGAATTTAATGGACTAATTTCAACAAAACTTGGCACGAAGCATTCCCGAATGATTTGACTGTTTGTCGTATAAAGAATTAGGTACGTGCGTTTGAACAGTAAAAAGTACACAAAATTGGAATTTGACAACTACACTTTTAGGAATAAAAAAATTTATTGTAATAACTTTTGATGATGAATGTTCTCTGCCTATCTGCTGGACCTTGAAAAATGCTGATAACAATTTCATTTATTCAACAATTATCATTAAAAAGGCAACTTGTAAATTCCCCATTCCTATACCCAGAAATAAGCATCGGTTTCGTTGAATCCTATCGACTTACTTCATACAGCACAGTCCTAGGTTTACCCAGATTGAGATATCGTCTATTAATATTTCATTTAGATTCGGCGCGTTCGGTTTGCTTTCGCCGGGCAGCTTCAGTCGATGACCGTGTAAAATACCTGCTCTCCCACTTCCTCTTTCCCACTACGATTATTTACATCGGCTTCAACACGCGGAAGTGAGGAAGTTTAAAGTCTCGGTTTTCTACTTATTTCGTTGTTTTGTCACAATTCATAGAAATCTTTTTATAGGGCCCTTGTGACAGTTACGAGAAATTCTATTGTTTACTACTTAGTTTCAGTATAATTTTAGTCTCGACTAATTTCCGGACAACTGAATATATCCCTAAAACATGGCAGAGAATTAAATAACAATCGATTGACATGGCATTTTGAATTATTACCCCAGTCATAATTCTCTTGAAAATATTGAACCCTGTAACTAACAAGGTCATAGAAGGGATTCTACGAAGAACAATTATTTGTAGTTAAATTGATTGCTTTTTAAGTTGTTATTGAATTTCGAATTAACTTCAAGGTCTGAAATTAGTTAGAAAATATCAAAGGCTAATTAAAAGTAAACCAACACCAGTATGTTTAATACAGCGTTTCTGACGTAATTTAATAAAAAAAAAAATTAAAGGCGATAATAAGAATGTACGAAAGAAAAAACACGTATATAGTGTTTGGGTACATTACACAACAAATGTTATGTCAAATAGTTTATCAGCATTCCGTGAACGTTAAGTTAGTCTAAGTTGAAGACCCACAGTGAATCCTGAAATGTTCTAATACAACAAAGTTCTAAAGACTAGCTAGAAATTACTTTGAAATTCGTTAATTATTTAAATTGGGAAAATTCATACAAATAAAGAGTTCAGTTGACTTAATTTGGGCTGTTAAAATATTAAGAATGTTTGAATTTGTTACAAATTCAGTATCATGTTGCAAAGATTTAAATGTATTTGATTTTTGATCTAAGCGCATATTATATCAAAGAACATATTTAATAATGTTACCAATGAGAACATAAGTAATAATCCAACCAATCAGAACATTTATACATGAAATAATGAGAACATTTATAAGCCAACCAATGACTAGATATATATAATAAGCCAACCAATGAGAACATATACATGTATAATAACTAACCAATGAGAACATATACATGTGTAATAACTAACCAATGAGAACATAAATTATTTATTATATAATAAACCAGCCAATGACAAAATAAATAATAAGCCAACCTGTGACAAGATATATAAAATCCAACCAATGAAAGCATCATAATAAGCCACCCAATGAGAGCATATATAAGAATTAACCAATGAGAACATATGTAAAAAAGCCAAACAATGACAACATATGTTATAATCCAACCAATAACAACATACATGTATGTAATATTCCAACTGTAGAGAACAAATGCAATAAGCCAACCAATGAGAACTTACGATAAAAACAAATTTTTTTCGAAGAAAAATCAAGGGGATGACATTGACCTCTAAGCTCGAGAGTTCTTTTTCATCATTCAGATTTTATTCTGACGTCTTGTTAAGTTAATTTAAAAACAAACAATCAAAAAATTTCGACTACCCGTAAATATTTATATTACAGTAGTTTCCTTGCGACGCATAGCCTAACACCTCAATATATGTGATAAAGAAGCGATTTATCTTCTAACAATTAACCTCTGATATTCTTTTATAGCTAATTGGTCACAAATCGGACAATTCAAAGTGGTCATTTCTGTTTACAAATCTTCAGTTAATCCATTGTTTTCTGATGGTTCCTAGTCAAAGACTGGAAACGAATGAAATGAAGCTTTTAGCGCGTTGTTTAAATTATAGCAATTGTCAAGGACTAGAGGAACGACATCACAAAACCCTGACTTCATGAAGATGTTGTGAAAGGGTCTTGTAAAAATTCAAATAAAACAATGTGACTTTTTTCTAGCGGGCACCTGTTGGCGGTCGATGACGAAACAGAAGATGTGTTTGGGGGCCTTCAATTTGAACGTGACGAAACAGGAATGTTGCACAAACGCCTCCCCGTACGTGAGCTGGACCCCGCAGACGTTCACGTCAACTGGCGATCTCTTCTACTGGCAGGAACTGATAGGGGGCGCTCCGCACTGCGAACTTTGTCACAGTAAGAGAAACATTTCCAGATAATTTGAAATTGGTAAAATTTCATTGATTTATGTTGAACAGAACTTTGCTTTGATGTCGTAAATTGATTTAAAACTTAATGAAAGAAAATATGTGCTTGCTGAACATCAAAGAAGAGCCACATGCATGAATGTGCTGTGAAACAAATTGCCAAATTGTACATGAATTAATGTTACATGGCAAATAAACGTTTTACTTTTGATTTAAGAGAATGACTTTGAAGCATATTTTCACTGCAGTTGTACAGAATGAATTTTGAATGAATTATTTTTCACTTGTGGAAGACAAAATCTTCCTATCACGGAGAAAACTTTGTCTTGTCCACTTTATTCACAAGGAATACATAAATCACAGAAAAATCATTTAAATAAACAAAAGAAAGATCTTCGGTAGGTAAACAGTGAGATTAATTAAAAAAAAAAACATTGAAAATGCCGTAATTCCTTTTAAAAGTCATCGTAGCAAATCAAAGAGAGAACTTGATTTATAACTCCTCAAGGTTAGCCAACATACCAAAAATCTACAAGCGTTTAGAAAAGAAATGTGGAAAATCCTTAAAAGCGAAAAAGACGTTATTCTGGCAAAGGTCATCAGATGCTTAATGAAATGCAAAATTATCCTGTAACTCAACAAGATACACTCACATTCCAAAAATTAGAAAAAAGTGCGCAAAACCACATGGGAGAGACTGACAGACAGACGGACAGCTAGACAGATAGCTATTCAAACAGACAGACGGAGAGAGGAGGAATAAACCTGTAGTCTCCTCTCCTAGGGAACTTATAAGCGTGTATGCGTACAGAGCGCGTCGTAAGTGCGTAGATGGTGATGTTTGTCGGATGCCTGGTATGAAATTAGTTTGTTAAATTTCAGTTCAAAATTGTTGTTTAGGTTTTTGAAGAGCATTGAAGAAAAATATTCTAATATTGTTTATCTCGAACGAAGAAAATTTTTATATTAATATGTAATTTTTTTATGTACGATATCGGTTGAAAAATATTTACTTTTAATTTAGAATTTCAACTAAATTAAATGAAAGGACGATCGATTGTCGCCTTTTAAGGCTGTAGGTGACGATTTAAATAAAACTAATTCTATAAAAACTCATTTTTTATTTTAAAAAAATCTCTGGGAATAGCTATAAAAGAAAATTGGATATAATTATACATGTATAAAGATCTCACTTGTCACATCAAACTGCTTTTTTTTTTTAAGTAAGAAATGTGTTAATTTAGTCATATTTGAATCTGCGTTATCTAGAAAAAACATTTCTCAAAATGTTTACGACAACATCCCCTCCTCCTTTCTGATAAAAATAATCCCCATAACAAATTGTTTCAACTTTTGTATTATGACACTCATTAAATGTACCAATTTATGCTCATTTGAAGCATTGAGGGAACTTGCCACGTTTCAAGTCAAAGGCTTGAAACAATTTTCATTGATTATTATTCATTGAAACTCTATAAGAAAAAAAATTGTGCGTGAAAGCCTTAAACAAATTGATTTATTTGGTTTTTTCTGTAAATCCCCCATTCTGTTGTAAAAACCTTCATATAATGTGTGTTCGCATCATTTGATCCTTTTCAACCCTTTTCAATTTTTAAATAATCTATCCTTATGTAAAGAGTTTTTTAAATGAATAATTAATAAGTTTTTTATGTATTGAAAACTTTTCTTTTTGTTTTTAGAATTTTTGAAACGAAAGAATCTGCTGATTAGCTACCATTAATAAAAAGAATAATAATAATAATAATAATAATTGCCAATTAATGTAATGAAAAGATATATAAATAGACCGAAAGACCCAAAGGAATCGTGTTTTTGGGTCATGAGATATATTTATCTCGATGCCTAGTTTCAAAATAAAATGTTCCATAATCCGAGATTCTAGTTACTGAATCGGCCTTCAATTAAGAAAAAGTCTTGCTTATATAATTTCTTCTTTTCGGAAATGGTTCAAATTAGTGAGAAGGCTACACGAAAGTAAACCATAAAATAGGCACTTTTATTTTTTGCATCAGGAGCTTGGTATCTTTTATAAGTCGCATTATCCTCTAAAATTAACGCCAGAACTATATATTTCCTCAATAATATGACCTTCCATCTAGTTAGCCAAGGCTCTTTATAACCAAAGACGACAAATCGTTAAATTACGTAACAAAGCATTAATTGAACGAAATATGGTTATTAATTTAAGGCATGTCTAGATTTATACCTTCTAGGGACAATTATTCAGTAATAAAATAACACTATTAGAGTTACACGAGATCACAGAAATGCATTTATAAAGCAGAAGAAAGAATGTAAGAGCGACAGATTTATTTTTAAATGTTCAGACACCTTAATCTCGATAGCATAAAGTGCTTGATTGTGTAGTTTTTGGGTTCATTGATATTACTGTCGCGACAAGCATAACAAAAAAATTTATTTTTTCATTTGCAATTTTCAGATACATTATAGAATATCGTAGCATTGCACCGGCAATTGAGACATATTCTGCACCCCTTCCCCCGAAAAAAAATATACACAGAAATCCCTATTTCTATAAAAATTCTAATTCGTCGGATAAAATAACTTATTTGTCTGAACGACTTCCTTATTCGTTCGAACGAATTTCTAGTTCGTCCGAACAAATAGCCAATTTGTCCTTACGCTATTCTTCGGAACAAATATCTAATTCGTCCGATCAAATGAAAATATATTTTTTTTACATGGGTCTCCATCGGCGCCGTAAATATGAATAAGGTCATTCCTGGAAATAAATGGTACAATAATCTCCTCCAGCGTCCATCTACGCCATTTTATTGCAGTTTAATAAACTAGATGTTAGGCTGTATTTAATATTCTGTTTTAGATACTTGTGAAGGTGTCAAATGCCCAAGAGGAAAATATTGCCGAGTAAGGAAAGGAGTTCCAAAATGTGCCTGTATAATTAAATGTACTAAGATACAGAGAAAGTCCAGGAAAATCTGCGGCTCGGACGGAAAGACGTACAACAATGAATGTCAACTACGAAGGCGCAACTGTAAGCGGGAAACCTCGGTGTCTGTGTCCTACAGAGGGGTTTGCAGACGTAAGAATGAGTTTTAGAACATTTGAACTATCATAAATAATTTGTTTTGTCGTATAGCCATAAACGGAATGGGGGGGGGGGGCATTAAGTTTGCCAGTATATAATGTACTAAAGAAAACATAAATTATTATGCCTAAGCCACCCAAATAAAAACTTCTGATTTTTTATTTAGGAATTTTTGCTTGAGAGTTCTCAAACAAAAAATGTTATTTCTTCCCGTTTATAGTTTGAAATTTGTTCGTACAGGCTTGTTTCAACCCCATATATTGCATGCATTTATAAATATTTTTACGATAGCTCCATTATATAAATCAAATTTCACATAATTATGTTTCAGATTCCTGCAAAAAAGTAAGATGTTTAAATGGGAAACGCTGCTTAGAGGATCAAAATGGATTGCCACATTGTGTTCATTGTCAGATAAGCTGCCCACAAAATGATGACGTCAGAGTTCTTTGCGGAGAAGATGGCGTGACGTATCAAAATCCCTGCGAGTTAAGGGCGGCAGTTTGTAGACGACATAAGTCAATTAGAATCGCCTATTATGGCAAATGTCGAGGTATAAATTATAAGAAGTTACATTTTATCACGATTTGTAGTGTAATGCATGCCTCCTGCAGACACTTTATTACAAGTGCAGTCTAAGCCTTACTTTTACGGCAGTCAATGCAAAACACGGCTTATCTATCTCTCTTTCACGTAGTAATTCCAGTTGTTGAAAATATCTGAGTGAACCGTCCATGTACTTTTTTTTAAGCTAACGCTACTTGTTTGGACACGGGGTGCCCGGATGGAATGTCCTGTCTTATAAATCCCGTCAATCACCAGCCACTGTGCGCCGTGTGCCGATCCCGCACCTGCTCCCCGATGTCGCGTTACAAGGTGTGTGGAACCGACGGCGTGGATTACAAGAACTATTGTCACCTAATGCAGGCCTCCTGCAAGATGGGGATAGCGATAGATACTCGCCACAGCGGTTCATGCGACAGTAAGTATTTAATTTAAGACAACAGAAAAATATGTCATATTTTGTATAGTTGTGTCTAGAAGTATACATTTTTTTTTATTTTAAGGAGCTAGTTGGAGAAGGAAACAGAAGCACAAAAGAAGAAGACGAAGAAAAAAGAAAGTAAGAGGAAGAAAAAGAACGCGATATGTTGATGCTGTACTTAGAAGTTCTGATGGAATAAGAATCAAATTAAGATGTGAGTAGTTTTTAATCTAGAAGCAAGAAGCAAATTTTGTTTTGTATTAAAGATGTTTTATCCATAAAATTATATACTTTCTTTGTTTTCCAGTAAAACCTATGCATTCCAGGGAAGATAGTGGTGTGTCACTCCCTTTGACTCTAGAACATTTATTTTCCCAGAAACATACCAAAGAAAACGGGTGAATCTCTGCCATTATGGAGGGAAACCTGCCATAGTGCCAGACGACATAGTGCTGGCCACGTGATAAGAGAGGGAGCATGCGCGACAAATCCAAATACGTCACTGCCATAAAAGTCTTTCTTCGCCACAGCGGCATTATAAATATTTTGATGTGTCACCGTCTTGTGTTATGTGTTGTTTTATTTATTGTAACTTATTAATTATTAATTTATTTATGAATATTGATGTAAATGTTATATATTAATGAAATCAAAGCCTTTGAAGTTGGCCGTTTTCTCTTCACTCGTCTATTCGGATTTGGACTGTGAATTTGAGGAGGAAAATTGGGAAAAAATAAACGTCATATGTGTATGACACAAACTTCCCGAGAATAATACACATGTACATATAATTATTTCCGTCCTTTGTGAATGTGCCTTGATGAATTTTTACCAAATAAAATATGGTAAAAACTGGTTTGTTTCTTACTTTGAAATACATCTTAATTGATTGGCTCAAACAATACCCAAGAGGCAACGTAATGCAACGAGGAATACTGTTAATAAATGCAACCTAATTGTACCGATCATTATTCTCTTTAAATTGACAGCATTAAAATTATATATCCATAAAACATTATTTATAGCCCCTGAAATAAATAAATTATTTCACACATTAATAATACTGCAATTTTTGATATAAATATTCTGTCAACATTGATGATTCACGTGACTGACTTCAAAAGGGTTTTGAGAATGTTTGAAAGAAGGGAAAGATAACATTGAAGTATTTCCTGATAGATATTTATATTTGTACACATAATGATACGCCTCATATTCAAGCTATACATTAGACTAAGTAAAACAGCTTGAAAAAAAGTTTGCACTGAATGCATGGACAGTAGACAGACTTTTTGCTCATTTAATACAGGAATTCAGGAACTAGGGGAGTTAAGTGTTCTCAGTTTAAAAAAAAAAATTCAACCTGTATGAGTCATTATGGCGACAAACATAAAATTATCATACAAGCCAATATATTCTTCCGGAAAATCTGTAGCAAAGGGAACTGCTAGACATTGCAGCTTGTCAAATAATAATTCTAGCTGTTGCTTCGTTTGGTTTCGACTGTTTCCTTATGGAATATTCTCTTTATTAAATACAAGTTGTATATGAAAACCTTGCAACACATACTAGACATCACAGAACAATTATCAATGCTCACACAGTTAATTTTAACTTCCTAAAAATTTAATCAAATAAGCAAAACCGCAAAACGACTTCGTGAAGTCATGGTCACAACACTCGCATGCTTCATCCTGCTCCTTCTCTGAAATACTGTACATGTACTTTTATAACAATTTGTCCCTCTCTGACCTTAGTCTAGACTTTGATAAAACAAAACTCATCAAAATATTAACACTCAGCAGATTGCGTCGTCATAATTTTTTAATTAATTTATTTTAATTATTATTTTTAATTGTTATTTTATGAATATGACTAGGGACAAAAGAGTTTATCATGTCCGTCTTCTGCCCCTTTCCTTCTGTCGCGTTTTGCATTTAACTCAGTTTTAAATAACTTTTCAAGATAATTTTTTTCAAACTTCATATGCTGATTCATACTGATGAGGACTGTTCAACTGCATCAACGTTTTTTGGCGTTAGCCTTTCGTTTGACCTTGACATCACTTTTCATAAATAATAGTTAAGCTCAGTTTTAAGGAAAGGAATAAGATATTTTTACCAAACACCATATACTGATGCAAACTGATGAGGGCTATTCAACTGCATAAACTCAAAATTTTACCATTTCCTTTGACTTTGACCCCAACATTCTTAAATTAACGTTTAGCTCAGTTTTGAAGAAATCATGCATGAAAGTGTTATCAAATTTCATATGCTGATACATGTACATACTGACAACAACTATTCAACTGCATCAAATTTATGACCTTTCTTTGCTTTGATCTTGACCTCGATTTTCTTGAATTAATGTTTTAAAAAAAACTATCCATGAAATTGATATCAAACTTCATATGCTGATACATGTACATACTGATGAGAGCTATTCAACTGCATTATCTTTTTTACCTCGACCTTTCCTTTGACCTTGACCTCGCATATCTAAAATTAGGGCCAAACACCATATGCTGATACATACTGATGTAAAATATTCCCGTCAAATTTCAAACACTTATATTTGATTTTGCATTACTTGTACACCCTCGGCGGGGTATTCATGTCATATGGAAATATTTATAGTTAAAATAAAGTTAATTGAAATGTGCTCATTTGACCGAAAAAACGCCATAAGAAAAAAAAAGTCTTTGGCTCATGCAGGTGAGCTAAAAAAAAAACCTCACAGTACCTCATGAGTGCAAACATTTTCAATAGTTCTGAGGACAAAGCTTTGCATGCCAAGAGTAAATTAAATATATAAAATGAGAAATTTATCTACCCAAAATTGTTATTGACATCAAATTCTCGTCTTTAATTTCAAGACCGTACCCTTTTTGCTTAACAGCACTGACTCACACAGAAGTTATGACGTGATATTCCGTGTACTTCTCAATAGCTATCAAACATGTTTGAAGTACAAGATAAAATAGCCTCAACCTTTTTACACTGTAATTCAAAAGACACACAACAATATTTCAAACCACTGGCAGCTTTAAGAATTTAATCGATATCCAACAACAATTTAGCTTAATTTATTGCGCATCTTTTTAAAATTATACAGTAAAACAGGGTGAATTGGTGACCAATTCTTACGTATTTTAGACTCATTTAAGTTCAAACTTTGATCTTAGAGAGTTATTATATTAATTCGATGTAGGTAAAGCCCTTCCTCATAAAAAAATTATGACAATGATTTTGAGTTTGAATGCACAGACCATTTTTGAAGAGTTTTAATTCTTTCACGTATAATCATCACCGATCGATTAGCTTCCAAGGACACGTACAGTATATTTTTTTTTTTCGAAGAGCTCTAAGTCCTGCCTTCTTGAAAAACTGAAAATGACTACAGATTTGAACTACTAAGTGACTGGTACCCTTGTCGGATATCTGTATGTAGAGAAATGAAAACAAAATCAAGTATCCAAAATCATAGGGATTCACGGAGACAAGGCGAGTACATGTAACCCTTGGCTTTGTTTATCGTATAGAAAATGAATAATTCACTTATTCATTTAAGTAGAATACAACATTTTTAAGTTTTAAATTTTTATTTTTTTATTTTAAATTTTTTTTTTCTAATATCTATCAAAAACATGATAATTATAAATATCACAAAGTACATATTCATATAAAACGTAATTAATCTTGACTATAACGACGCGAATTTTTTTTTATAATCAACTCCTTTCCGTTAATTAGAAAGATATTAACTGTATATTTTATATTAAAATTAAAAGCTTTTAGACAATTTTTTCCGACTGTTTATTGTTATTTTTAAAAATTCATAAAAAGAAAAGTTAAAGTACTTTTAACCTTATTTCAATTCAACATTAGATTAATTGAAACTCGCACGAAATTCTTTGGAACTGGGAATTCGAATATTGTGAATTTGTAGAAAATAACTTAAAGTGCAATAAAGGTGCCCAATATTGTCCATTTAAGGAAAGACAGAAAATATGTTTTCACATCCATTCTCTTTTAAATTAGTTTTACCCACTGATTTTAAGATTACTTCAAAGTGAAAACCGTTGCTACAATAAAAAATTAGTTCAAGGACAAATCTCATAAAAGAACAAGATATCTTAGTGAAACACTGATGCCCCAGTATGACATGTCATATCTAAAAAAGGACGGTCAATCTCTAAGGTCAACAACAAGAAGCCAAAAAAAAAAAAAAAAAAAAAAAGAAAAGAAAAAGAAAGGCCGTAAAAAGATCTTGTCGCAAGGAACATGCATTTGAAATACTTAGTATGAATGTCTCGTAGCACCGACCGTTCGAATGTTACGACCAAGTTAAAGTCAGAAATATTGAATACCAAAGAAAGACTTTGCATGTCTTGGGGATACATTTGTGAAATTAAAGAAAAAAAATCTGTGAATCAACGTTTCAGAAAATATGGCAATGATTTATGTTTTTCAGAAGTAAGACAAATTTCAAGTGCAAGGTTATGGGCTAAGAACTGATGGTATTTGAAAAAAAAGTTTTGTCACAAAGAAAATTCATGTGAAATATGAAAGTCCTAAGACAAATTGGTCAGAAAGGAAGGTCAAAGTTAGAGCCAATCAAGTCAAACTAAATCAAATTCCTGGTCAAGGACAAGAAGTCAAACATGAAGCAACCCCAAAGAAAGGGCATGCTACGAAAAGGCTCTTGTAAAATATGAAAGCCCTAGTACCAACGGTCAACAGTTCAGACGCCCTAGGCAAGTTTAATAAAGGTTTTATTTTTCTTAAAAAAAAAAAATAATAATAAAACTTAAAAGTCAAGGTCAGGAGGTCAATTATTTTGGGACCAAAAGTTAGGTACTGCACATGAAATGCACTTGTGAAACATGAAAATTTTATCATCAAGCATTCAGGGTATGTTTATTTGCAGACAAACTAAAAATTATACGAGGATGTCCTTTCGGATTGCCGGGGGTAAGGGGATGGGTTAAAATGCTGATTCTTAAACCCCACTCTGTGTAAACTAGTATTAATCATATTCTCTTTCTGACTGTTAACTTTTAACATTGATGGTTTTTTTCTTAAAACACTGGGTAAATTTATATATGAAGGTAAAAAATATATAATTTTGATAATCATGTTTAAATGGTGAAGCTTTATAACCAAAAACACTCCAGTTGTTCGCAGCTTTAGGGTATAAGTATGCAACAACTTTAAATTGAATATTAATTAGCATTCTGGAATAAGGAATAACATTCTGTGGGTATTTCCAGTTGTTATGTATGAATCATTCACCAAAAATGTCCTTCTTGAACAAATTATCAGTCTTCCTGAGGGCGATGAGTAGTAGGTTTGGTCTGTGATAATTCGAAGTATAATATAGCTGAGAAGAGAAAAAAAAATATATTGTATTAATTTTAAGATTGAGTAAAACAAGTCGTCGTAATAAAACATGTAATTTTCACAAAAAATGTATGCATTTAATATGAACACAACTTGTACTGGTAAATGAAATAGAAATAAACCAAACCTTCAGAAGTTAGACATAGCTTCAAAAGGTCTAGGGGTATAGAATATATTGTGTGTCCTGAAATCAGAATATGAGATATATTACATCGATCGAATGATTTACGTAAGTACTTTGTATAATGATGACAATGACCTTGACATTTGGTCCTTCTTGAGCGATGTCTGGGAACAAGTCCTACCAACTTACACACGGTGCAGAAAAACTGACATGTCGCGACGCATAAATAGCAATTAGCTATCTTGATTAATGCAAATTTGGTAAACTTAACAAGCATTCCTCAGTGACATAAAAACAGGAAACGAATTTTTATTTCTATAATTACGT